CAACTGATTTCATACTGAATTTAGCTAACATATGTACTATATTGACAAGTGAGTGGGATAAGCCGTATGGATCATCAGAAATAAATGTAAAAATTTGTATTGCTATAGGTTTGTCAAAACATTCTGATTAACAGCTAGAGAGTTGTTACTATATTGTACAAAGGTGGTGCAGATGGATGTTATCATACTGAGAATACGCTGTTTTATGATGAATGAATAGAAAACAAACCAAAGGTTTCTTTTATTAAAAGTTGGGGTTTTAAGCATGTAATGTAATGAATTTGTTGATAAGACAGGAAAAAGCCTAGATAACCATTATTTACCCTTAACGGTGTTCAACAGAAATATCTGTATGCAGCCATGCGCAGTCATAGATAATGACCATGTCGTCAAATGATCGGAGCATATCATCATTTGTACTTTTGGATTGTGTTCATTTAATATGCTTTCATGGAACCGAGACATAAAAAGGTGGCTACTGAAAAAGCATCTATGTTTTTGTTGTGTCAGAGCAGAACATCCGTACAGGATATTGTATTATTTTTCTTTAGCTCTGCCATTGGCTCTGCGGATGAAAATACACACGAACTACTGAAAGGACAGAAATATCTTTGACTTCTATTTTGTAATATCCTTGATAAATATGAACTCTTACACTGAAGCTGAGTGAGCTGATTGATATCAATTAGATTAGAGAAAATGCATTTTCGAAAATCGACTTTGAAAACCCTCTTTTGGGTTGATGTCCCAATCACCCTCAATAGATTAGTTTCTTCAGTTTCTAAAAGAGTGACACATATTACTTAAACTGAGCCTATTCATTGTATATTTGTCTTATATTTAAAAGAAAGCTTTACAGGATTGAACCCCAGTTCCACTTACAGAGCACAACTGGAGGGGAAGAGTTAGAAAATATTACACCACTAACATTCCCGACTTTAACTAATTTCCAAACCAGTTGATCTTTCCCACCTATTGCTTCACAGTGAAAGCATCTCATCGCATTTTTGGAAATGCGCTCCGTACTTTCTATCTGTTGTCATATAATCAGCAAGGGCTGGATCCCATTTGAGGCCAAACTGGAGGTAGAGGGCCATGACAAGAAAATATCCCATGTCTAGTTATCTATAAAATATTATGTTTGGATTATGACTTTCCATTCTCACTTTATCTTTTAAGAATTTGGATAAAGCACCTGAAAATATTCCCTCTGAAAGTATTTTTCCTCTGGGAGTGGTGGGAGATGGTTATTGTACAAAAAAATAACAAAGAGGCCAAATCAAACCAACACCCTGCCAACATGTGTCGAAATCACATAATGCGTATTGTTAGATGAAACACATCATTAAATTAATAAATAAATCGTTAAATAACGTCACATCGATAAGGTTGTTACAAAACTAAGATTTCAGTCACTTCCTGTCTCTAAAAAGCCTTGTGAGCAGGAAGCGCGTGGCACCATCGCACCATAGGCAGATCAACGTACGATATGTTTGTTAGCGTGTTAGCATTCTGATTAAGAGCCAGTTGGTGCCCTGCTTCGGAGTTCTAATCTGGCCTCACGCCTCAATGCATGTGCTCAATAGAGTCCGCACCCTGCATCATGACATCATGTCTTTGTGTGAAATCCCAGTGCCATTCACGGGCCCACCGTGGGGCTTAGCGTGCAAGCGTCCACTATACCAACACACAGCTCTTTAAAGGGAGTCCCCTGGTCCCCCAGCTCAGTGGATACACACTGATCTCCATAGAGCTCCCAGCATACCTTCTAATGTCCGACAAAATAGGCTGAACCCCCAATGGCTTGCTTTCTCGAAGGCCGTTCTGGGCCCTGGAGAAAGTGAGCCGTCGGGCGTTTTGTTGAGGAGATTTCCATCTGTGTCACCCCAATGTCAGCTAACATTCACACTGATGCACCTAGATGCCATGAAAATTCTGTCAGAAGCTGCAAAACATTTGTCTGAGGCCATATAACAGAGCATGAGAGAGACAAAACTGTCTTGATTTTAACGGTACACAACTCACTTGGGAAAAACTCTGGGATCAGAGAAGGTAAATCTGAAGGCCAAATTTTCACCAAGCAACAGGTCAGAGAGCAAAGACCAAGAGGAGGACTTTCAAGTGCCCCATCCCAGTGATGTCACATAGGAATGTGCACTCCATTGGCCGAGAGATAGGGAGGGCCGGCTGTAACACACAGAGTGGACAGAAATCTATGAAAAGCACAATGCCTTCCACTGATCAATAATTACTGATGAATAACTGATGTGACTACGAATATAGATCTTACTCATGGCCTTTTTAGTATAAAATAACCTCCATTTTGAATCTGAAATATCAGTATAGTAAAGATAAAAAAGATTATGCTTTTATTTTACTTACCTTAAAACCAAAAATCTTTACTACTGTGCCTATAAACCAGTCTGACGATTGCTGAATGAGAAACAAAACCTATTCAGAAAATTGGGACCTTTTCAACTCAAAATATGACATTAATGTTTATTATTCAGCACACAATGCGTCTGCTTTTATTCATCCAGAAACCGATGTTTAAGGTGAATGGGTCTTTTCAGAAAACTGCATCGCTCAGACCTGAGTGACTGGCTCCTGGGAATATAAAACAGTGTTGGAACCTGCCTGTTGGACTGAGCAAAGGGAAATGAGTTTTGTAAATGTAAATAAACTTAAGGTGCTTTGCTCTGCCATGCAATTGTTCTGTTGCTTCCTTTAATTTTATACGTCATTGATTTACCAGAGCAGCAAGTTTTCAACAGTTTAGATAAAAGACAAGCAAACAAAGCTTTCTTTAAATAAACTTTTTACACAACAAAAGTCTGGTTTATATTAACTGTGTTAATTTTTTGGCACAAACAAAATCACATTGTTCACACACAACAGGTCTTTTTTCATCAGAAGGATAAGCTTCTGATGGTTCTCAATATCAAGAACATTGTGATTTCGCCGTGCTTACATGGGAAAACACCACATTTCTTAGAAGCTTTTCCAATAAGAGCTCAATTCTATTTAACTCATTTCATAGCAGCTTCAGTTTTATTGGAGTGGGGACATGATAAACCAGGGATCAGCGTATCTATATACACACTGGCTGACAAGCAGTTAATTAAAAAAACAAACTCCCATCATACATATTCTATTGTGGGTCTGTTTTTGTTTCATTTGGGACATCTTTTTTTAAAGTGCAAAACATTGTTTGCCTTCAATTATAGCACAAAATCATTACAGTTTTCCATTTGCATCTAATTTCAAAATGATTCAAATTCTATTAAACTAATCTGGTGTTTCTGACGAAGGTGGGTTGCTGTTTTCAGACACAGAATTATTTGAGCTCTGCAGAAGCTATTCCTTTATCCAAACAGCTCTGGAATAATTTGGAGATCAAGCATTCCAGCTGGATGTTTTTCCTCCCTGGTCCGGGAAAGTTTGTCTAACCAGTCTAATAAAAACTTCTTGTGTCTTTGTCATTCAGTAAGTCACATTGCTCACATTCCAGCTAAGTGGCACAACTAGGATTATATACAAAGTACATAGTGGTCGACACCGCCGTGCAACAACTCACATTTCACAACATTGCTAATGTTTTTATAAGATATCACTCTTATTCATTCGCATTGACTGGAAATATTTTTTACTGCTAAATTGATGCAAATGATTTTCTGTGAGGGAAACAGAATGTTTCATAACTACTTTTGAGTTCTTTTGAAATGTCTGTAAAGTTGTGTGTAAAAAAATCATAAATCGTAGTGGTTAAAGATAATACATTTGACTCAAGTTCTAATGTTATTTAGTTATGTGTGAATGAAGCTAAATATCTCGGCCCTCAGAGATGATTAGAGGAGAAAATATTTGCAGCCATAGCTTTGGATGATAAATTACAAGAAATGTCTTTTTGTGCTGTGCTGCACACATCATATGAAACTCCTTCATCCTTGTCTGAGCTGATAGTTTGCCTCTGACCTGCCTCTCTGTTCTAATGTTGGCCACGACAGCACAGCTGGAGGCACTTGTCACATTTGTGGCTCCTGCTTTTTGTGCCGCGCATAAACATGCGATGAAGTCGCATGCAAGGAGCTTGACTGTTGGGCTGTGGACTCGGTGCCCTGGTCGTACGGTGTCCATGGTGGTGTGGGAGCTTGAGGCCTGCTCCCATACATCCCAGCTCTGGCTTTGTGATCCCATTGTCTCCTGCGTCACCACACGTCGCCCGGCAAATAAAGGCCGTCTGGCTCCAAGCTTAAATATTGCAGCAAACTAAAAACCAACCATCAGAGCAGATTCATTCACATCTGCTCAGTGGGGCGACAAGGACAGGGCTTTAGGTGGGAAAGAGGGCAGAAAAAAAGTTCACTTTTCCTGCCGGGTGCCAAGAGAACGGGACAGGACACAACTCCTCTGGAGCCGCAGCTGTGGCAAGTTGCCCATTTGATCATATTTATCCTTTATCCTAAAATACAGAAGAGAGTACCTAATGTTAGTCATCGAACACTATTTTGTCGGTTTAACTGCTCGGGTGGTCAGCGATGCCTTTGGGAGCATAAGAGAGCAAAGTTATTTTCTAGCATTCACTTTTGTTAATAAATAGGGAAGACAGTTAGAAAAAGTAGCAATTAAAGATAAAAAGGTTGCTGAAAGTTTCTCGCTTGATTACGTAACTTCTGTTTTAATCGTCATTTTGTTGTTTTCTCATAAAGACCTTATTTTCGCATATAATAGGAACAAAATGGACCAAATCGTGTAACAATTCAGTTTCGACTTAGAAAGTTCCTACTCAACAAACATGTATAGATGCATCGAATTGTGACTTCGATTAGATTTTCAAGGCTTTTGAAGTTTGACTTATTTTTCCTCGTGCAAAGCTTACTTTTGATGCTCTCTTTTCCCCTCCCCCCCGCTGGCCCTGCCCTTTGCACCCGCCCTGTCTGACTGCACCCTTCGTGTCCCTCCCTACCCCACCCTTCATTCTGCAGTGCTACGGACCGATCATGGGTGACTGGAGCTTTCTGGGTAATATTTTAGAGGAAGTTAACGAGCACTCTACGGTGATCGGCCGGGTGTGGCTCACGGTGCTCTTCATCTTCCGTATTCTCATCCTGGGAACGGCGGCGGAATTCGTGTGGGGCGACGAGCAATCTGACTATGTCTGCAACACACAGCAGCCGGGGTGTGAGAACGTGTGCTATGACGAGGCCTTCCCCATCTCCCACATCCGCCTGTGGGTGCTGCAGATCATCTTTGTGTCCACACCATCTCTGGTGTACGTGGGCCACGCCGTGCACCACGTCCACATGGAGGAGAAACGCAAAGAGCGCGAGGAGGCTGAGCTGAGCCGGCAGCAGGAACTGAGTGAGGAGCGTCTCCCCTTGGCACCCGACCAGGGAAGTGTCCGCACCACAAAGGAGACCAGCACCAAAGGAAGCAAGAAGTTCCGGCTAGAGGGCACTTTGCTGAGGACCTACATCTGCCACATCATCTTCAAGACACTGTTTGAAGTGGGTTTTGTGGTGGGCCAGTATTTCCTGTATGGCTTTCGCATCCTTCCACTTTACAAATGCAGCCGCTGGCCCTGCCCCAACACGGTGGATTGCTTTGTGTCACGCCCAACGGAGAAGACTGTCTTCATCATCTTCATGCTGGCGGTGGCCTGCGTGTCCCTCTTTCTCAACTTCGTAGAGATCAGCCACCTGGGCCTGAAGAAGATTCGCTTTGTCTTTCGAAAGCCCGCCCCGGCTCCGGCACCGGCCCAAGGCGAGGGGTCAGCCCCCCTTCCACTGGCAAAGAGTCTGCCCCCCTTAGCGGTTCCCTCTCTGCAAAGAGCAAAAGGCTACAGGCTGCTGGAGGAGGAGAAAGCTCCCCCTGTGACTCACCTTTACCCTCTGGCTGAGGTTGGCATGGAGGCTGGAAGAGGGGCCCCACCATTCCAGGCACTGGAGGAGAAGGCCGAGGAGGCCCTGCCCATGGAGCACATCTCTAAGGTTTATGACGAGAGTCTGCCTTCCTACGCCCAGACCACTGAGACAGGCGGGGTGACATTACACGAGGAGGAGGAGCAGGAGGAGGAGGAGGCCGAGGAGGTGCAGCAAGCAGAGGTGGAGGCAGAGAGGGTGGAGGAGGTTGTGGATGAGGATGTGGAGGTGGAGGAAGCTCCGAACGGGGAGGGGGTCCCTCCAGCTGAGGCAGAGATGGAGGCCGCAGATACGATAGAAGACAACAGGCCGCTGAGCCGACTGAGCAAAGCCAGCAGCAGGGCAAGGTCAGACGATCTCACCGTATGAATCTGCACGTGCACACCCACACACACACACAAAACGTTTTGACACAGGAGAGAACACACATACCGAACGCAAGACAATGCACAGGTTAGAAAAGCTCAAGAAACACAAAATCACCACGAACAATTGAAAAGCTCAAAGACAGACTTCCAACAAGTGACAAAACAAAACAAAAAAAGATCTGAGTGTTTGTGATAAAAGTGAAATATAATAAAAAGTAGAAGTTAAAGAGGGGAGAGGTAGCTCTTTTTTTAATCAAGCGTGTTCTTATGTTAAAAAAGAAATATGGAAAGGACACATGCAAGGAAGGAAGGGAGGTGTTTATACTTGATGAAAATCCATGTTCAATTTTTAGAAATATTTTCTATTGAGAGAGTTATAATCATATACAATGGAGAAACACACATTTTACATGAGATTTGAGTAGATAGGGGAGAAAGAGTTCTATTTGTTTGTCAGCAAATCAGTAACTTCACTGTTTTTCAGCACAGACTTTAATTCCCATTTAGACAGTTCCATATGACATGTGCTGCATCCTGTTGTGAGCCCTTTAAGTAAAAGGGCTTTTTGCATTGGAAAAACACTCCACTGACAATGTATTTGCAGGAACGCATTTCTTAGAAAACAGAAAGGACAGCCCCTTTTCAGGTTGAGACGAGCATACCTCTTTTGCACATTCAGAAGTCTCAATTCTGCTAAGCCTCGGAAAAAGAGCTATGCCTCTGCTAACACCTCATCTGTGCATCTATGACACAGGATTCCTTCATTCGAGCAGAGATGTACATTAGTTACAGAGCATCTCTCTCCATTTCAGGTTTTTATGCTATGTGGCACAGCCCGATCTGGGTTAGAGAGGGAAAGAAGAACAAAAAAGAAGACCACATGTTGAATGTCCTTTTCAATGTGATAACACATTTTTTTCACCTTAGATCCACTTTATGTTTTGTAGCCTTTAAGAATTTTACTGTGATATCAGATGTCCATGGAAGAGAGAGCAGTGTTTTTTTTTTTTTAACCCAATCAGAGAATGTACCATAGTAGTGACCTCAGGCCAAATCCTCTCTTTTCGTGCAGTACAAACAGGCATCCGGACGATAAAGATCGTGCACCATCAGCACAAAGTATTGTTGGCAGCGAGACAATAAAAGAAACCACGCTCATCAATGAAAACAAGCATCCTTGACCCGTGAGAGTGTGAAAGAAAACTCTTTCAACTCAGTTTGATGTGAACAGATCCCAGCAATGTAATGGCATCGCATGCAGCTATTTTGAGCACCTATCCTATCCAAGATGAAAAGTAACTTTGCAAATCATAACCAAGTTTTAAAAATATATCATTTGCATTTAAGTTTGCCTTGAATTTACAACAAATGCCCACATTCTCTGGCCCTATGTTGTCAAACTATATGATTTACTGTGCCTTATTTGTACTTTTGAAGTCTAAAACGTTGTATGTTTGTAGAAACTGATTATATTGCTCTCCCACCCACTTCAATTAGGTGTTTTGCCTCCTTTATTTTCATTTTTTTCATAGTCTTTCTTCTTTATGTAAGCTCTACGCACACCCACAGTCAAACTCACCAAGCCGTAAAACTATGTCTCTGTTATGCAGCGATTATGGCGATTACTTAGAAAATCTACGCTAAAAACTTGCATGCTTACCAACATTTGCATGCTTACACAACGCAGGCTTATGCTTAAACACGTGCCTTTTTATCTGACACTCCCCACAGTGTTGATTTTGGTTGTATGAACAAAGGGCTTGGGAGGAACTCAGTGAGGGGAGGTGACTTTCACCCCGTTTGTAACCCCCATAATGTCCTCACCTCCAGTTATCCAGTGCAGCCACTCATTACAGCAAGCAGCCATGTAATGATTGAGGGATGATGCTGGTCCTCTTGTATATCAATATGACTGGTAATATATGTTTCTTTTTGTATTTTAAGAATGTTGCATTGCCTGTTTGTAAGAAGACATGATTAATATTTGGAGAAAAACAACCCTTTTTACTAACTTGTAGTCTTCTTTGCTGGTAGATGTGTGGAAGTATCTTCTTTTGGAATGTGAACCAACGCAATAAAAAGTCACACAAGGTCAAGAAGTACAGTGTCGGGTATTGTTGCAAAAACACAATCTTGGACACATAACTGGTCAAATCAGCATCAACGCGTGGAGATTGTTGATGCTATCTTTGGGTGGATGGGGATTCAGTCAAGAAATTATTTGATTTGGTTTACTAGTTTTACAGATGATGAAAGTGATCCCAAAAAAGAAAAAACAACATTTTCTTCTTTTGGGAATTTTTTAAGGTATCAAGAACACAGGTGCTTAAAAAGATATACTAGAATGAAAGTGCCAAAAATAACTAAATATTACAAATATAAAAAGGTAATATTGTGAGACAAAGTGAGACAAATTACACTCCCTTAACTCCCTTCCCTCACCTTGAAAATAGTTAGAAAAATAAATAGACCTTCAAATAAAAAGACCTTCAAATATCCAGACATATTAAATGTGTATGCATAGAATTTTAGACTCATGAATTAAATAAAAAGATTGATCTTGAAAAGATTTTAATGATAAGAGAATATTCCAATGCTAGCTGCCTGAATGGAGCCTCTTCTGTCCACGGGCCACTGAACCAAGGCTAACTGTAACACTACAACTCAAAAAACAGCATATGACCAGTCATCTGATGGAAAAAGCTCCTCCTCCTGGGCCACTACCACTGATAGCATCATGAAACCTCACCGCCTGATTCCTGACATCAAAACTCCCGTGTATTGGTCTCCTGGACGTCCACCAGATGGTGCTACAGGACTGAGACAGGATTTTACAGCCTGCCCGGTGGAAGAAAGCACCAGGTGGCAAAGTGAATAATGCTTATTATTAAGGGAAATGCCGCTTTAATAGCTTGAGGATGAACACACTGGTATGGAATTAGATTTTTAATATATGTAGGAAGTTATAAATAGAGTACTGAATTAAATGCGTATGCATTGGGATAATATTGAAGATGAGAAGTAATTTTGACATGAGGTTTGATTTGTGGCTTATGGAACAACTGTAACTGCACTGCATCCCATCCATCCATCCATCCATCCATCCATCCATCCATCCATCCATCCATCCATCGGCTGACCTGGCGTGCCCTGGTCAGATGAGACACATAATCCCTCCCGCGTGTCCAGGGTCTTCCTCTGGGCCTCCTCCCGGTGCGACGTGCCCAGAACACCTCACCATGGAGGCGAGCAGGAGGCATCCTGATCAGATGCCACCTCAGCTGGCTCCTCTCCACGTGGAGGAGCAGCGGCTCTACTCTGAGCCCCTCCCGGATGGCCAAGCTTCTCACCCTATCTCTAAGGGAGAGCGCTGCATCCCAAAGTGGAAAAAAATCATAGTAGTACTGAAAAGCCCAAAGAAGCTTTCTACATGCAATGATTCACCATTTGTGAGAAGGGTCACACTAACACAAACACCAACATTAACAGGGTAGTGTACCTTGAATAATCTGAGTCTCATCTCCACGATGAGCTAAGAATTAACACCCATTTTGACAAATACATAAGCTTTTTCTTTTTCCTTCAGAAATCTCACAATTCCAGATAATAGAGTGCCTAATTCCCCTATGTCTACACTAGATAATATCTTAAAAAGGTGGGTTAGGCATATCATGTAGCCCCATGTTATAACAAATGCAGGCCTGCCCCGTGCACTTCTTATGACTCCTCAGCATGAATTCCTCTAAACCAGACGGCAGAAAAAATTATGGTCAGCTTCTCATATCTCTTGCTTTGTGTTATTTCACAATGCCCAATGTAATACTAGATCTATTAAGAAAAAAAAACCTTAAGCCTATACACATATTCCCCTTTAAAATGTTTGAAAGGTGCTCTAAGAACTTTCATTTTTAATATACAGTCATTTTAACATGTACCATGTGCAAAAATACAGATTTTTCCCTGAAATAATGCTGACCAACCAGAGGGTTTCCTGAATTGAATTATGTCTTTCAATAAAATAATGACCCAATTTATTTTATACGGGGAAAAACAACAAACTCAAGCACTGAAAGAACAACTGTCGAGTTGTAATGAACAATTGATTTCATACAAATATTGGGGGCTGGACCCGATATGAATAAAAACAGAGTTGGACTCTAATAGCCTTTTTATAAAACCCGAAGCCACCAGATGCTGGGCCTCATCTGTGGAGTTTCCTCCAGCGCTGCCCTTCCAGCACGATCTGCTATTCTCACGACAAGCCGGAAACGCGTGCCATTTTCAGGCATGCCATGCCCTTCCCCGAAAGGGATTCCCCTCCCCCTGATCATCCAAAATGACCGGCTGTAATGTTCACAGATACATGAATTGCTACATTAGGAAGATTAGGACACAAATACTCTAAAGAAAATCATATTAAGAAATACAGTTTGACAGAAAAAAAAGTTCTGTTGGTTTAATGAGGTCATTTCCAAAGAGCAATAAACGACAAAAAGAAAAATGACTTGGGCATAGTCTCAGCATAGTGTGACTCACATCTCAAACATACTGAAGAAAAGCTATTTAGCCAAGTGACTAAACAAAGTTGAATTTTAATGACAAAAACCCTTTTAAGATGATTCCTCCTCTCCAGAGCTGGAACCCTTATCGTCAAAGGGACAGAGTGTGGTCACCTCGATAGAGATCTTCCATTAAAGAATTTAGCAATATCCTGGAATGCTATTTCTGAAGAACTTACACCCAAAGCTGTCAGAGGTTCCATTACATTATAGCTTCAGAAATGGGCACTGAATAATATTTTAAAACAACTATTCCTCAGACTCTGAGCCAGTTCCGATGTCATCTTAATGATTCATCTATTTTTTTTCCACCACCACGCTTGACAAAGAATACACAAGAAAGCTCATTGCGGAACAATGTAGCTTGCGTGAGAAACTACCTGCAAATATCTTATTTCTTAAACATTTTTCATTTTTCTTTTGCCAAAAAAAACATGTCCAGCGGATGACTTGATGAACAAGCTTTGAATAACGCCACCATTGTTAACATGTAAAGAGGCAAAACTACCCTGTCCTGTTATTGCCCAACACAATAAATAGCCTGTGTCTGAAATCTATCCCCAAATAGTTTCACGCGTTTCCAGTCACAGAATGAAGGCATCAGTGAGGCATCAGCAACTCAACAAATCCTTAAACAATTGAAAGAAAATGAGCGTTCACGCTCTGGAGGTGGCATGAGTAGGACGCTGCTGTCTAGCTCATACTTTAAGCATAAGCTATGACTGCGGTTTTGTGTAAGCCACAAAGCACCAGCCAAACAACGTTAACCTAAAAAGTGCATTTCCGTCAAAGGAAGCCACCGCTATCACTTCCTGTGTGAAAAGCATGTTTCCTACGTGTGGGTCCTGGTCACCTTCCTTATTTGAAGAGGGTGCAAGACACATTGCACTTGTTTTAAATATCTAAATTCTTCGTGTTTCCTGCTTTAATGCCACAGTCGCAGATGAGAGTAGGAGAAAAGACACCAAACGTTTTATGCCTTAGATCGGGTAAGACAGTCTGCTACTTTTATCATGCTGTATGTAGGTATGGAGACTTTTATGTCTTTTCTTTTCACAGAAATATGAACAAAGAAAGGCACTTTAATCTGAGTAAAAACTTTAAAAAGTGTTAAAAGTAAACTAAGCGTAAATACTAGTCCAAATGTTTGTAGCTCAAACTGAAATAAACTTTTGTTTCAAGGCGGGATGGTGGACTCCTCGAGATATTTGGGCATCAACGGGATGATATGCTGCATGTTCTGGATGTTTTCGCCATCAGGTAGAGTTCATTACTTATAGATACAAAATGACAAGTTGGGTAAAAACATTCTCATGGGTATTATCTGAGGTTTAATTCCTTGTCTGAAAATTGAAAATGAAAGCCATTTCTATTATTATTTTGCTTGCTTTTTTTAATTTGTCTTGCATTTCTGGGACTTCAGGTGAATCAAATCCTGTGCCATTGGTTTGAGGAATCCGTTAGAAGCTTGACAGTTGATATCACTTGTCTGGGACCTAGTCTGATTTGTTTTACTTCTGTAATCCTAGACAGCTAACTTTGGGATTTCCCTTACGTCACCACTTGTTTGCTCTGATTTTGGTATTTTGGACCTTTTGTTCCTTCTTCTTGGTTCTTATGAACTACATACCATTGCGGTTCCTGTAAATTGGGTGGGTTAAAGCTTGTGCCAATGGGGAGGGAGGGAATAATTGGTAGTTTACAATCCAGCAAAGAGAAGCAACATCTTGGATTAAAGAGGGGAGAAGGACAGAAACCCGGTCCTGCCCTCTGCATACAAAAATCAACCACTGATTTTACTGGAATAATGTATCTATTTGAGCAGAGGTCACAATTGTGGGGAGTTTGGGAATTGGATAAAAAGAATATCCAATTAAAATAAAAAAAGTTGCAAAAGGCCTTGCAAAGAATGCCCAGCTAGCTATAGACATGCATTTAAGTCCAGTTTCTGATAAAAACAACAACATGCCTTTTCCTGCTTTAGTGACTTAAACTACCAGAGATGCCAGAGAGTCAGTCAGAGGTAAAAATTCAAACTCAGAAATGGAGGTCTTCCACAAATAAAAATACAGAAAAAGGTGATGAGAAAAGCTTGTGAGAAAATAAAAAAGAGGAATGCAAAGCTGACAGACCAAGAAGCTCATGAGTCAGACCTGAGGCCTGTCCCATACCTTAGAGAGGTGTGCTGAACAAAGGCTTTTGTTGACTGAAGCTATCGAATATCTCATGTCATAAACCTGCAAGGCAAACAAGCCTTCATGGATCATTTTCTGTTACTATGGTGCAGCTTGAGAGAAAGCACTGTAAAGTGATTGCATTTTTTTGGGGGGTGGGGGGGGGGGGGGGGGGGTGTTTGAGTTTCAGGAGTTAATAATAGGCAGGTTCACCAACACCTTTCAAAGGGTTGACGCATTCAGATATAAATGCATGCTAATGAAACTAAAGATGTGGCTTCATGAGTGTTAGTCCTGGGTAAGGGACAGCTGAAAGGACTATGTGAACAATAACGTAGGGCCGCTTTTTAAATTGGTGGGTTGAGAGGCTTTGCTCCTGAAGCCTCTTATCCAGTGCTTAATTTTTCCATCGCTCCATCTCCCCACAGAAGAATATCTGATCTCAAAGGTGGCCGGGAGCACAGTGACCCTGCACTGTAAAAACAACACATTCGACACGCTCAACGTCCTGACCTGGACAATGAATGGAAAGAGACTGTTTAGCTTCTCACCGAAAAAAGAGAACACCACAACAGAAAGTGAAGACGCTATCAGACTGAATATAAAAATGTCCGATTTCAAGAGCTTCTGCAGTCTTGTTATTGAGAAGGCCCAGAAGTACCACACTGGAAACTACACATGCGAGACAACCACAAATTCAGGAGTCTGGCAACAGGATACGGAGCTTGTGATTACAGGTGTGCAAAGTCTCTAAATCACTTAAGTATATTTTCCATGGGAACAGGAAGAAAAATGGGTGTACAATGGATAAAGTTGCGTGGGTTATTAAAGACAGTGAACACTGACTGTGTGTAATCGCTGGAGAACACATACTCAAATGCACACAACAGACCAACCAAAGCAAATTCAGCCCTCATTGTGTGTTGTGGGTACACAGACACAGAGGTGGGTCACAGCTCTGCTCATCAATGATTCCGTTACATCTGCGAAAAAGGGAAATTTGGGGTGGTCTTTCTTGATTTATATTAAACTAGAATCCTTTAAAAGGAGATTTTTCTCAGTGATGACGCTTGTCAAGTTTCAGACTGTAGAGTTTTTGAAAGGAGTTTGAGAAACCAAAGGAAATGTGAGCACTGCCTCTGCTTCCTTTGTGAAAGTATAACCTTTCTCATACCCATAAGGCTGACTGGGTTTCACTTTTCCTCAAACGTATAGCGATCAGTGACACTCTGTCTTTGTCCCCCTCTACAGATGAAGAAGCAGAATATGATTATAGACTGATCACTGTAGCAGCCGCTGTTCCCTGCGTTTGTTTGATTATCTTTATAGTGGTTTTTGTCATTCTGAGACGAGCCCGGAGACAACCAGAGTGAGTTATGGCTGCCTCCAGTCAATCATTAACTCTTTAGACTGTGCTGAACAGTTACAGTGTAAACAACATTTTCTCATGCTCTTTTACAGATGCAGGATCCAGTCTCCCCCATCTGAAATGGTTAGAACACGAACCACATTGCTGTTTTGTGCTGTTGGAACTTTGATACAATCCACACACACTGACATGCAAAAGTACGATCAAAGCTGAGTCTGAGTCTTAGTTTAAAAATCAGAAAAGAGACCAAAAGAAGCAAAAATGGGAGAGTGAAATGATATCAGACTCTGACAAAGTTCAGCACAGATAAAAAAGCATGAACTGAATAGCAAAGTATTCTATCTGGCACCATCAAACTCTAGGGGGAAAAAAAGCATTCAAAAAAAGAAGCCAAAAGAATAAATGAGCTTTCAACATAAGTTCAAACACCAACCCACAAAATTTGAACGTTTTACCAGAGTCCTAAAAACATCCCTCGACTGCTCTGAAATCCATAAACTGTAGACAAAAGAAAAAAATCCGCCTGTCAGAAAGATACATATTGTAACTGATCCGGTAGTTTTCTGCAAGATGACTAAAAGATTAACTTTAAAAGGGAACAAACAGTTTTAGCTGGAATTATTATGAAAAAGCAAGCTGGAAAATATAAATAAGAAAGTCTTCCATGCACTCAGCTCTTCAGTGACAAACGTGTGAACCAATGTTCTGTGGGGCTTTCTAAAACTGTGTGTTGTTCTCTTCTCCCCCCAGCAGCAGCAGCAGCAGCAGCCGCGACGTCAGCAGCAACGAACTGAGGAAATCTATGAAAACTGCCTGGAAATTCAGAGACACGCTCTGGCCCACGCTCACAAACGCAGCGCCCACTGATTCCCAAATTTAAACCGCTTCCTTAATTAATACACACCACACAACATAGATCATGCAGCATCTAACGGTCAGTGTCTTTAAGCAAATTTATGCTAAACATCCCTTGCACCAATAAAAAAAAAAAAGAAATGATTAACTGAATGTTTGTGTGAGGGGAGTGAAACTCTTGTGTGACACTGTATGGCATCTTTGGAGCTAAAAGTATAAAAACCACATGAGTGACGCTTAAAAAAAAACATTCTTTGGTGTATACCCATAAAGATGCCCAAGATTAAAAACAACCATGACTCACACAATAAATGCAGCTCTTAGTTGCTAGGTCGATGGATTGAGGTAAGTGAAAGGCCTTATTTTAAATGTTCGAATTTGATACAGACAGGTAAATTTTAAGATAGAGAAGTGAATATAAAGACAAACTTACTTAAATGTTTTATTCTATTCAACACGTGAATTGATTCACGAGAAACAAGAGAAAATGGATGAACTATAGGCAGCAGAGGCGTTCACACTTTTAAGTTCAGGATTAGTCAGTATTAACTGTTTCCTGTAAACATTTAAAAATGTTCCACCCCAACACTGATGACATGCTGTAAATAGCTTTGGGCCAAGACCGACACCAAACGTCCACGCCTGCAGACATTTTTTTCCTTTGGTTGTAGCTTTACTTTTCAAAGGCTGTTGTTAGGAATAACAAAAATGATAAACTTGTACATATAAAGGGAGAGAAAAAAAGAAAAACAGTAGTGTCTTAAAATGTCCAAGAAAAACACAAAATACAACTAAATGTACAAGAAAACTGTTCAAACGTTTAATACATTAAACTTATACATACAAAACAGACAATTGAACTTTTATTGTCTTAATTCCCCCTTTAAATAATTCTCCCGGGTGCCAATGTGTGACTTGCTGGCTTTTTGCTAATCTCAGATCTGTCATCAAGGAGATCCGAGTTCTTTTCTGTAGTCTAATTTTGACCTTTGATTTGACCGATGTATTTTTCTTAATCCTTTTGTGCTTTTTGCTGACTCTATGCTTAGTCTACCCAAAACAGACTTTGTGACAGTAAGCAGAAGACAGCAGCTATAATGTGAGAAGGTGTGGTAGCGCTGTTTGAACTTGAGACAACTATAAACAGCAGACTAAGCAAATAAAGATGTGAAATGTGCAGACTTGAGTGGAGCTCAATTCACCTGGGCAACTTTAACTGGACCACTGACTTTCTGCTTCACCTAACCGTCGTTGTAAATGCAAGTACGATGGGGCACCCAATGACACTTTTAAAATAAATTTTAGATTAGTAGTGAAAGAATACAAAAAATGCAACACATGAATAAAATAATTACAAAGCTAAATTTCTTTAGAGGCTCCTTAAACAAGATTAGACCATCTTTAAAAAACATGGAAAAGTATTTAGAAGAAACAATGAAAATATGGTTTAATCAAACACAAATACACATAGCACAAATAAAAATGAATATACAGTGAGTAAAAAACAATAAAAAAAATAAATAATCATGTCAATCTCAGGATTCACTTAGGATTATGGTCTATGGGAGCCTGTTGGTGAAAAGTTTAACGAAAATTCCCTGATTAAAATATCTTCAATTAAATAATTTAAATCCAAATTAGGTGAATGGCAGCCTATGGCTAGTGTTAAATACTATGTAAGGTGTGTGCTTTCAAAGCCATTTTGATTTTTTTTTTCAAAGTGCCTAAAAACATACGGCGTAACATGGTTATTCTTTTGAAACAGTGTTGAACATGTTAGGGAAACTTTATTCAGTACCTTTATTCACGACCAGCATATGATGCGCTTAAAAAAAAAAACTCTTCATAGAAAACCGTATCTGTCACTACCTTAATCATTTCAATGCGGATGTGCATTTTTAACAGTTGTACCTTAATGCTAGTGATATATTAATGCTGTTATATGGAAAACACAAGCAGCAGGGCAAAATGCCCTTAAACTTCCTCACAGAGAAAAAGCCCCATCACAATGTTGGGTACACCTGACCTTCTCTTTAGAATATCGGTGAATCCTCAGTCGCTGACTGGGTTTTCTGCAACAGATCTCAGGTTCATGCCTACAGACAACACACACCTTTGATTAATTCCAAATTCACGAGAACACAAGTAACAACACAAAGATGAACAGAGGAACAAAGGGAATTTAGCGCTTCTTAAACAAGAATTTAGCTACGCGATTCTAGACTGGAAACTACCAGCTGCAAAACATTGAGGCTACTGATTTCCTTTGCGGTATTCTAACAAAATAAATGATAGCGTGGTACTCAAACTTTCTATTTTTGGCTTTGTTTTTGGGACAAAGAAAAGCATTTAAACTAAGGACAGCATGTGAAAGAAATGCATAATAAACACCAATAGTAAGCCTATCTATCCCCTTTTGGGCAAAATGTCCTTTACTGTCATTTCACCTACCTGTCAGAGTGGGTGGTTTTCTGGTGAGCCGCCTTCATTTGATGGGACCTCCTGCCGATTCCATAGGTCCAACAATCTGTGCAAAGAAACCCCAGCAAACAAACTCATGATGTCATCTAGTCTTATAGCCTGTATTTAACGTAGGGCGGGTTATCATGTTTTGGTGTAGGGAAACTTTATTCACTACCGTCGTTTGCAAGATGGGTAATATTTCCACACAAGTACCAGAAGATTTATGGCAAGCAGAATACCAAACAAGACCCAACCAGCCTTGCAGCAGCTTCCTGTGGGCAAGAAACGAGACTGGTGTATACAGTCAGGGCAAAAAACGACACAACTAACACAATACCACCTCGGTCTTCTTCTTTTAAATTCCTTATAACAATTTTGTCAGCATGCAGTACAGTTTACCCTTAAAAGTGTTCTTCCTTCCCATGGAAATCAAGAGTGACTTTAAAAAGCACAACCTTTTATGGGAGAAGACTGGTTCAATCAGAGTGTAGCGAGGTGGAATGTGGGCTGTATTTCTGGAGAGGGCAGATTTTTTTTTTGCCAGTGTGGTATTCCAAAGACAAAAACGTAGTCAAAGGAGAGATAGTCAATAATGTTTGAGCTATGTGGTATTTAAAGACAAATACGGGTAATTAATGTTGTAACGCCTATGATAATATTGTTTTTAGTCAATGATTACTGAGTGATATTTAATGTACTGGATCAAAGGATGTATTCTTTCCCTTTTGGCCTTTCATGAAAAAGGAAGGCATGCTTTCACAAGCCCCTATATGTTTCTGAACACTCACGATCTCCATATTCAGGTTGAAACCTGCTGTCTTTCTATTTGGGCTAAACTTAAATGTGAGATGTATCTGAAGCCTCTTTGGGGTTCCGTCAGGCTTGAGTAGGGCATGTTTTAGAAGTCTACCAACCTCTATGATCACACAAATAATGAATCAGACATATGTTGTTCCCATGTTTTGAAAATGGGTGGGGTAGGTGTGATAGAGTCACTATCTAAACATGTGATTCCCTGGCCATCAGTCTGCTGTAGGCCCTGCTCTGCCCGGATGGAAAGCCAGCTGAATAGTTGTATTTGTTCAGTGGGGCCAGCGCCCCAGGGGACTGCAAAACTACAGCGCAAAGCTGTGGTACGAGTAGGTGCTGGTGGAAAAGTGCTATTAGGGCAAAACACACATAAACAGGAGTATTTCACACTAAACATCAAAATGACCTCACCTGAGTGTAAGTGCACATACAGATAGGCAGTTTGGCTTCCATATCGGTTTTTTGCTTCACACTCAAAAAGGCCTTGAAGATCAGATTTTTTCTTCAGAAACGACAATGTTGCACCCTCTGCACTGACTGGCTTGGACAAGGAAAGTTCTTTTCTGCAAAAGACAGTTTGAAGACACTTTTGAAGCCTTTTCCCCACAAAATCTGCAGCAATCCAGACTGTGCTTTTTTTTTACCTTGTCCTGTTCAGCATTAATGAAGCAGAACTGAAATCTGAGTACCGTGCTACGCTGAACACATTTGCTTTCCCAAGGGAGGCTTTGTTGGTGAACCCCCCCACCCTTGATTATCCAAAATGCTTTATTCATCTATTTTTGTTACAAAACTTTGTGTCCAATAACGCCAAACCTGACAAAGGGACAGAAGAAAGAGCAAAGAAAAACAAAGCCAAAAAGGAGAAAGATCGGTTAGGCAGAGAGAGAAAGAGAAAAAGAAAGACACCAAAAGTGTTTCAAATTAAATGACATCTTGTGTTTACATATTCCAAACTGAGCATTAGCTATTTTTACATAATTGCACTCTTTCAAGTGTTTTATCTATTTATAGTCATTGTCCCAGCCGTGAACCTGATGTGGCTCACAGCAACATCCCTTGATTTAGTTTAAAAGCCACTGATGATGGAAGGCTGTTAAACAGTTAAGTACACAGACTCCTTTTCCTGGACACCCGTAATTTAATCCATCTGAAGTCAAGCAGGGACACAGAAAAACAGGGACGAGGAAGATGCACTTACCTACTAAACTAGCCTCTGTGTCCAATAACTTGTGTGCCACAGAGGTTTTGAAATAATCAAGACTAAAATCCCAAAAAACTGAAGGTTTGGTCACTTCATGAGAGTTTCAGGGTGTTGTGAAACAGATGCTGTAATGGTGAAAATTGTAATCGCTTCTTCTCTTGTGCACATCATCTCTTTTCTGGTGTATTCTTGTCTGTTTGAGGGCTGCTATGAGACATCAGGTGGGAGTGCATTTCAAGGCCTCATTGGCTGTCCTTGGTTATTCCACAGGGATTACCATAAGGTTTTTGTGTGCAGCGGTCAAGAGACCACCCGTTTATAAAAGGGTGGTGCACACTCACTTGCTTTTACTCTGTGACCTGTTCCTCGAACGCTGTTGCCTTCAAATAAAATACTTATAGGCCACGATCGATTTTCTGTTTGGGTGACTGATTGTTAAAGAATTTCCACAACAACACAATTACACATCCTATAAACTGGATTTATTCATAGTTGGACTTGTGATATTTGGCCACATAATTCCTGTTCTCTTTCCATTTCCATTTTGTTTGAGTGGGGGAAAAAAAGAGGGTTATTCAGGTTAAATGATACCTGTGACGCACAGCTCAATTTCCCCGTTGCCATGTTTTACATTAGACATACTAGACTAGCCATCTGCATCTCAACACCAATAAGACTGAAGAGCCTGTGTTGGATTTTCCCAGGCGATAATCTGCCCCCGCACCCATCCGCATCAATGGTGTGGCTGTGGCTGTTGTACAGGATTACAAATAGGAGTATACCTGGTTAACAAACTGGACAAGATCCAAAAACACTGAGGTCATCAGACGATACTGTGGCTGCAGAGTATTTTTAACCAAATGACATGGTGGCTCTTTCTGGCGGCCACGCCCTTCGCTGCTCTGAAATGATCCTTTTGGCCTACAGCTCCATCAGTTTGAACACTCCAGAGAATTGCAGCTCAATATCGGTTTTTCTACAGCTCCTGACCACTCAGCACAGACAGAGCCCAGAAAAAGCTGCCTTTAAAGTCAGCACTAACCTGCATCCGCTAAAGCGCAGGGACACTCAGCGTATTTGGGCCGTGCTGCCCATTTCCTCACAGCCACTTTGCCACAGATTTTCTTCACACAAGTTTTTCTAGACAGATTTGTGCAAATATTTTCCGCTCAGTTCTGAGTTTGAAAAAGAAAAAAGAGTGACTCTGACCTTTTCACTGAGTTAACAAGACGCCGCATGTTTCACAACATCATCTCCTAACCTAAAACCTACAGCAAACGTAAAAGTAACTTTTCTTCACCGTCACACCGTCGAACCACAGATGCTTGATACTTTTACCGTTTTCATTCGTTGGCTATTTTCGTTCTGTTTTTCAGTTTTCAGCTGGGCCTCAAATGGTTTCCTCACATTAAAATTGTTTTTTTTGGGGGGGCAGAAAGGGGGACTTATTCTACATAATTTATCCGCAATAACTGTGGAAAGTGGAAAAATCCCAAAAAGAAGTGAGTAAGACTGCGGTGCTCCGATGTCCAAAAGGTAATGCACAGTCATCATGATATAAATAACCACATTGACTTTCCCTCCCCACAGAGTTCAAAACTGTTCAGACTAGCATTGAATGAGAGCCAGGTAACTCCCCTTCACTCACTTTTTCTCAATGTTTCATTTAAAACTGGTCAAAAACGTTTTTTTACCAGAAAAGTAGTAAATATTAAGTTTTTACTGGAATCTTCTGATTAAAAGAAATGTGGTGTGATTTCTGCTTTCCCAAATATATTAAAAAGCCTAACATTTCCATGCCAGGCATCTTTGTTCCCCCCCAACAGTGGAATCATTTGAATTTACTCTGTAGTCTTTGCTGGTTTTTGACTATCTGTATTTTTTCTCGTTTTATTTTTGCTTAGGAGGCCTTCAATGGTCTGCGGTTTCTAGAGATAACAAGGCTTATCAGTCCAGACAGTTGCAGGAGTTTTAAACTGGTCACTGATGATTACTGAGCTGTAATTCTGACCAGAGGTTTGAAAGATTGTACTCACAATAATTTCAACCTTTTTTTAAAGAGTTTAGCTGAAAAAGTGGAAATAAGTGGAAAAAAACACCTGAAGCTGAAACCATTTTGAAAGCTGTAGTTTTTTAAGTTTTTCAGCTATAATGGGAAGCATAAAAAAGATTCTAAAGCAATGCTTTGTCGGCTCTTCAGGACCAGCACAGCGATACTTAGCATTCCTGAGGGGGACAGCTGAGGCCAAACCCCTGACTTTAAAACTCCTGTCTCGATGAGTGCACTTGTGGTTTCTGCTGAGCTCCAACTGTTGTTTTTTTCCCCTCTCTAGTTAACTGGGTGCACTGCAGCTAAAATTACTCGTCAAAAAACTATCTTACCTCAAGCTGTTCGGACTACTGTGCTTTCTCCAGGTTATGCTGGCACTGGGGTTTGCTTCGGAAATGCACTCAAAGTCGTCGGATCTTTCAGAAATTAAGGTATTCAATGGTGGGACTGTAAAGACAAACAAATAAACAAAATAAATCAGTTATACCTGCGGTCGAGAAAATGTCAATACCAATGATTCCCATGGTATTGAAAGTGACTATTTGGGTCCTTTTGCCCCACCTAAATAGATTTTTCGGTGGCATTTATTAGCAACTTTAAGCATTATCTAAAACAGATGTTGTGAATTATTTGTGTTCTTGTAGCAGCATAACTTAACCTTACAGAACAAATAAGCTCCTAAAACGCCAACACACAGACCAATCAACAAACCATTCCCCAATAAAATGATGTTCAAGTCAGTTTCATGGCTCCCAGAAAACATCTGATCCAACTCGAATTTAAACCAAAACAACATTGTTTGAGCTTCACGGCATTTTCAGCCAACTTAAACCTACTTCTTGACTAAGTAAACGGATAAGTGGAACTGGTATGTGGCAGTCTGAGGCAAATAATGCTTGATACCTTATTGCTACATCAGTGTTTGTCAGGGTGGAGGATGTTGTCTAATGGCGTTGAACATAATCTCCTCAGGCTTTAGTTATTAGGCCTTCTTGGGACACAAATCACCCTGATAGTAAAGACAATGAATGGCACAAGCCGTGTATCCACCGACGATGACAGGAATAAGCTAAATGTAAACCCCTCACTTAAGGAAAGAACTCGCAACAGCCTTGCAACTGAAAAGAAAAAAAACAAAACCCAACACAGGATACTGCTTCAAACTTTAAATAGCACAAATGCAGACATTGTGACAGCCTGCAGGTGGGGGAATTCTACCAGACAAAGGCCGCCTTTGTTCTCAGGGACTGGGACACAATCCTAGCGCAACAGCAAGCTTAGCTACAAGACATTACCCTAAACCAGTTTAAAATGCACCCTGAAGACAGCTGTAAGTGAGGAGGACGACTTGTGGTGTTCGTGGGAAAGGCCCTGAACGCTGCTCTAGATGTGTCCTTTGCTGTAGGAATAGATAAGATAGATGAATAAACATTTAGAACATGGGTCTGCTCTACAAGCGTGCGTGAGAACACCACTGGATGAAGGCAGCTCTGAATCTTAATGTGCCAGAGTAGGCAACAACAAAGTAGTAACAGCCGGGTTTGTGGTTTCTGCCACACCAGCTCCAGAAAATGGAGGCCATAGTGTAAAACAACACAAGCCGTCTCCAGTCAGGATGTGTAAAAACTGAACCCACTGGGCTTAAGCCTACGCCTGTTAAAAAAAGAACCCCCCCGAGCTGTCAGCTGCACGGCCATGCTGTCAGTCACCAGCCACCTCCAAAATATTTTCAAAGTACTCAGGTCTGGTGATACAGAAGCCCGTGGTCATGAGAACATTTTCATTCATGGTGAGAATAAGTGCAGTACATCAAAGCATGTGTCCAGCCACCCGTTTCCCCTATCAGCTTTTTTCCAGTAGAGGGGGATTTTCCACTGGACGAGAGGCCGGGTGCACCCTGGAGACTTACAGCATGTTTACATCTGCTCAGAACTGCATGTCTAATAAGCTGTAATTACTGTAGCTCCCCATCGGTTTCCACAACACTGATTCAACCAATAGTTGTAGGGGCACGGGAGCTTTTCCTATCCAGTTACAATGATTGATACCTTTTTCTTAAAGACTTTAAACTCATATGGACCCGCCCTGTTGTCAGAGTCAACATGTGAGGAGGAATAAAACACTTCCATTTGTTTTCCCAAATTAAAAATGATGGCATCCAGACCAACACTTGCCCAACCCAACCATAAGCACGGTCACATCGATATGATATGTCGGCTCGTAGAAATTGCAGAACTACATATTCGAAAACGCAAGAGAATATGTGTTGCCTGATACGGAAGAACCAGTCTCGACCTTTGGATATTTATTTGGACCTTTAATGGAGGTAATTCTTTTAGAGATTCAAACGCAGTGCTTTAGGAAACTTATTCCAGAACAACTTTTTTTCTTCCCTTCTTTTCCACCCTCTCCCGCTGGTGTCCCGCCCTAAGCAGCTGCTGCCTCAGAACACCATTAAGAATCGGCTGTCTAAGGTCAAATGCCTAGTTTTCTAACCACTAAACTTTGCTAACATGACTTAACTGCTGGGGATTGATCCTTTCCTTGGATCTCCAACCCAAAACAGAAGATTTGTCCTCGGCCTCTCAGAGTCGAGGTGAACGAGTCCCCCCCAAAAACAAGAGACTCCTTATGACGGGCAGCACATGCACACTCACAGTTTATCTGCAGCGTTAAGGGCAGGACCAATTCCTCCCTCAAAGCCTCCGAGGTGACGATGCAACGGACGGGGCGGGCGGTGATGTTCTGGGTGGGTATTCCGAAAAGCGAGCTAACTGTAGTGACCGTCCCGTTCTCGTGGGGGGTCGTACTGTTGGTAAATCTCAGTGTTTCCTGAATGTTGGTGGTGTCCCACCTCACCAGGGCGCGGGGCTTAGCGCCTCTGGCCGCGCAGCTCGCAAGGTGAACCTCTTCATCTCCCTCAAATATTTCTTCAGCTTTCAAGCTCGTGGACGGCGGGACTGTAAGAGAGAGCAGAAGGTCCAAATGGACGTCAATAACACAGAGAGATGAATCCAGAACATTTCTAAATAATAAAAAAAGGGAGTATCATACCAAACACTGTGAGGGAAACTTCTTTCCTGAGATTTCCGCTGTTGAAAAAGGTGAATATACAGGTGTACGTTCCTTCATCCATCAGTGTCACATTGGACAGCTGCAGCGTTCCATCTCTTTTGGGAAAATCCCCAATGAATTTAAATCGATTATCTCCTCCGTTCACATAATTATGTTTGGTTGCGGATTCAATTACAAAGAAGTTGTCAACCAAGGGCTTCCCCTTGGTCTTCCTCTGCCATGAAATCTGCGCATGGTCCTCGGTGCTCTGACTGAAGTCGCAGGGGAGAAGAGCAGTTCCTCCAAGCAGCACGGCGTCGCTTCTGACGCCTGAAACATCAGAACAAAGAAAAAGGGGTTATTGCCACTCACAAACTCACAGCAGTCACATAATGACAGGGACATCAAACAGCCAGGTTAGCTTTAGGCGTTCAAAACAAACGAGATTAAGAGGTTGATTAGTCAAACACTTGATGCGCAAGAGTGTTGGGGGGGGGAGAAGAAAAATGAAGTAACTTTCACGTGGTGTTTTAGATCTGGTTCATATCAACTTCACACATCCGGAAAGCAGGCACAGCTATTCATTAAAAGCCCCTCAAGCAGGAATCCCCCCTGGGTTGGGTGGGGCAGTGCTGAACTCCATAAAGCAATAAAAAGCAAACAGACAACAAACAGATAACGATCCGCTCTTTTGGGTGAACTGTTCCTTTTCCCTCGCACACACACACAAACAAACTGTGCCGTGTGCTCTGCGGTAGAACCAATAACTGGCAGAGTTAGGGGTTGTTTGATTCCTCAGATGAGAATAACCTCACGCACCAGACACATAACGCTGTTATGAATGCAGTTCCACGCAGCAGGAAGAGCGTCTCCAGAGATGTTCAGAGCAACCCGACGCGTAACGCTGCGCTCCCCGCAGCCATCTGCTCCGTGACGCGACGCAACAGAAGAAAAAAAAGAAAGGGTGAAAAAACGAAGCGAACCAACCTTGTGCGTGTCTGCATGAGATGATCAGGGCGATAACGAGAGGCAGCCGGTGTATCATTGAAAAAGCGCGTGGAAAACCCGAACAAGTGCCGTTAGTTGTTATATATACCCACGTTCTGGCGTGACGTGGCCATGACGTCATTTCCGGAAGTTACTCCGCTCAGGTGATTTGAGCTCTGTGTTCTCTGAGGGGCCCTGCGATGGACCCCGAATCTTGCCCATTGACCACTGGGATAGGTTCCTGTCCCCCCGGTTACGATGGGTGGATGGATGGATGGATGGATGGATGGATGGATGGATGGATGGATGGATGGATGGATGGATGGATGGATGGATGGATGG